GTGGACCACATCGAGCGTGAGTTACGCAAAGCAAAGCAAACCGCGTACTACTGGTGCTGGCCGGTCTCCGCTCTCTAACTGCCTTAAGAAACAGTTCAGGGCAATGGGCAAAAAAAAATTGCCACATCGTAAATCAGGTGAAAATAGGGCTCTCTCTCTTCTAGAGTCCTGCCTTGATTGAAGATGACACTGAAGCGGTAGTATTTTCGTCTGCAATATCAGCCACGAACGTGAGTGCCGCCGCAGACAAGGGGAATAGGTATACCAGCAAGCATGCAGGCGTGGCGTGCGGGCGAGTTGCCTTCGGATCCATCGCAGTGACAATAGGCAAGCCCGCATGCACACCTTCATGCTGGCTTGTTTACCCGGGTCAGTCAGAGGTCCTGGCTCACGCCTGGCTCACCCCTGGCTACCCCTGGCTCACCCCTGGCTCACCCCTGACTCACCCCTAGCTCACCCCTGGCTCACCCCTGGCCCTGGCTCGCCGATCGCCCCTGGCCTAATTTCATTACAATAGACTTTACATCAGTTAGAACGCATGGCAATAACGTCATACACTAAAGAGCGTCTAACAGAGTTTGGCATAGGCGTCACACAGAAAAGCATGCGCTGTCAGGCATTCCTGTATACTCTTGAAACTCAAGTGTGATACAGTCCAACAGTTATCAGCTCAAAACCATGTGTATCACAGTTAAAACTCTAGTACCATACGTGTACCACACTTCGAAGTGTAGTACCACACATGCAGTATGAGCATGCACTTTTAAGCGTAGTACATGTGGTGTGGTACTGCATTTGGAAGTGTGATATACATGAATGGTACAACAGTTTTAACTTTGATACACATGGGATTGCACTTATAGTTGGAATGTTGATCACGCTTTCTACAGTTTCCAGAGTGTAAGACATTTTTTTACATGCGAAGTGCGAAGTGCACACACTGCCGTTGTCACCTGCAAAAACATAGCTCTCGCACTTAAATAAAATGAGCACTGGCTTCTTTGGAGCGGTGCACTTTGCTCGGATGACTCACCTCCGCTGTCCACTCACACTCTCTCTCTCTCTCTCACACACACACTCGTGCACCACTGTATCCTCTCTGCTGGTCGCGCGGCTGCACAGCACCGTTACGGGCTGCCGCAAACTGCTCGCCGAAGCTGTGCCTCCTGCCTCCAGCCTCGACTGGACGCGACTGGCCGGGCGCTGGAGCTGGCCGCCTGGACAGCGCGGCGCCGCCGGGCGCTGGACTCGCAACAGCGTGGCGTGGCGCGGCAAACCTGACCTGCCTGTGGCTGCGGGGTGGGGCGCGACTGATCGCGGCTCACTACCGCCGTTGCCCTCCCCCTCCCCCTCCCCCTCTGGGCGCGACCAGCGCGACGCACTGAATGAGCGCGCGCTGCTCTGCTCGAGGCGCTTGGCGGGCGGCGCGGCAAGTGCAACGGTCTCTTGCTTCACGGCTGATCAGCCTGGCGTGGGTAAGGCCGAATCGACACCTGATCGAGACACGTCGGCCGCCCTCGCGCTCGCCCTCGCGGCCCTCGCGGCCGTGGCGTCATCCCCCGCCGCGTTGCCTCACGACGGCTGACCAGAGCCGCGCGTCGCTCTCCGATTCAGCGGAGGCCCTGCTGCCACCACCGCTGCTGCTCCTCCACACGACCGCAATAGACACGGACTCAGTTTTTAGAGAGTCTCCTAGAGACTGTCTCTACCAGAGGGAAAAGCCCCTCTCCCTCCTCACTCTGTATAGCCCATGCAGCCTATAATTAATGTGTGCACGCCGCCGGACAAAAGAGGGGCGTTGCGCGTCGTGCGGGGAGGACATCGGTTTCAATGGCCGAGTTAGCTGCTCTCGGTGTAGTCCCGCGCGCAGGACGAGGAGGAGGAGGGTCGTCAGGGGTCGGTGCAGCTAGATTGTCCGACCCATTTTTCTCCGACCTGGCGATTTTTCCCAAATCCCAAAGTGCTGTCCGACCTAGGCCTAGGTTTTGTCCGACCTATTTTTCTCCGACCTCGTCCATATGCTGAAATTTGGAAATACGTGGCTCCTGCAGTTATACTTTACCGCACGTTTGGTTTTCCTACCTCTGGGGGCCGTAGCGCCTAACGGGCATTGCAGGTAGGCAACACGCACACGCACGCCTGCGTGCGGTACAGCATAACCACGACGACTGGTTCGCCTACCCCAGGGGTGGCCGGAGCGCCTTACGGGCAATGCGGCAGTGTTGCACTAAGCTTTTGACGTTAATCACCCCCGTGCAACCGGCAGTTAAAATACCTCTTAGAGCCGGCGGATTCATTTTACCTGCAAAATTATCAAACCTGAAAAAAATGTGGGCCCTACCCACCCCGCTTTGACACGGGGACCCGCCTGTTTAACTTCGGAGTTCGGTATGGGATCCGGTGTTTTCAGGCACCCAGCTGAGGGCCGGGTTTCTTGACTATCTCGCTCACACCGGAGTTTACAGCCATCGACTAGGTTCCCACCAGTCCGCTTG